CAGGCAGGCAGGCAGCCCGCCCGTCCCTCGAGGGCGCTGGAAGGCGGAAGCAACGGGTGGGGGAGGGGGAGGGGGGCAAGGAGATTAAAACTCGGTGGGGACGAGTCCCCACGTGCAAGCGGGAAGGCTGTGCTTCAAGGAACAGACTCGTGAGACGAGGGTCCCCTTGTCTGTCCTCCGGGGGTGGGGTGGAATCTGTAGGTGGAATCTGGATCAGGGCCTCTCGCTGTCTCTCTTGTTTCTCTTTCTTTCTCTTTGCCAAGGAGTTTGTCCTGTCCGCGTGCAGCCCCTCTTTTGGGAATGGCCACTCTCCACACCCCGTTTTTTCCCCCCTGCGTGCACTTTGTTTTACACTTTAATAAGGACTTCGTGGTTTCTTCTCCATGTCTCGACTATGTGTACTTGCAGTTCCGGATAACTCCTCGTGTACGTGGCGATATGGCTCTGCAGCCCACAAGTGTTTCTGTAATGATAAATCTCTCGCTCTTGTACATCACTGGGTTTACCTTTAATTAAATAACTTGGGGGGAAATACTTCCACCCAAATCTCTGCATTAGGCATAATGTCCTTGGGGAAACATTCCTCCCACCCTGCACAGCAGACTAGGTGGAGCAGAGTAACCTAGCTGATTTTCCAAAGACCGGTATGCTAAATAATGGCTGTCTGCCGAATAGCTCCTGAAGGACTAAAGGTAGGGAGGGAGTGGCTTTGCCAGTCTCTTCTGTCATGGCTGGAATCGGGGCCTTTAGACAGGGACATATGGGAATGCACAATAGTTTGTGCTTTTAACTTCCTGTGAGTGCAGCGCAACTGCTGTAACATCCTTGGGCGTTATGCTCGTGTAGATATGCTATACTGGTTAGTCACATTCCAACAACTCTAGAAGGTTGTTCCATGCCATTGCTTCTAACTTATAGTGACCCTATGAATGAATGCCCCCCCCACCAAATAGTTTATGGTCAGCCCTGCTCTAGTCTGATTCCATCCATCTCACGTTAGGGCTTCCACTTTTCCAACTCCTTTTAACTTTCCTGTTCTTGCTCTCTTTTCCACTGAGTTCTTGTATCCCCATGATATCGCCAAAGTACAGTAGCCTTCATTTTAATTTGATGTCCAGCTAGATATTTTTACACTTGATGTTTTGTAGCTCAGTCACGGGTGCCCTTTCAAGTTTTAATTTTGTCTGATTTCTTGGCTGCAGTCTCCAATTTGATTAATGGCTCAAGCAGTACAGAATCCTATATAGGGCTAAATCTAACATTAGTTCAATTAGTGGAACTATTGAAATCAAGTGACTTTAAGGTAATTATGTTTAATGAATTCTGTTGGTCCACTTTGCAAGGACTAGCATTGGATTTAGCTTGTTAGGTGGAAGAAGATCCTCAGAAAGGGGAATATGACAACAGTATTGTTGTTTTGGGCCATCTAGTCACTTCTGACTTCTGGTGACCAGTAAAAGGCCCTACCATGAACAGCCCTTCTCAGTTCTTGCACTCAAACAATAATGTTAAGGAGTATTCTTCTTCATGTATTAGATTCAAGCTTCATATAACCTGAACCCCTCAGAACCTCATTTACACAGTTGCAACAAATCTAGGGGTCAGATCCCTGGCCCATAGAGATCACAGGGTACTAAAGCCAGACTATCACTAATACTCCCCAGAACATCTGCCACCGTATGTTAATTTGCAAAGGACAATGGGATTCTCCTCTTTATAATTTTGGCTTTGTAGTTCACAGCCAGTCTGTAGCAGAAAGTAAACCAACCTGTCAGTTCATTCAGATCAGAATTCATGAAATAAACATGTTAAGCCTATAAAGATCTGGGGTACTTTCTACCAAGGCTGACTTTTCTGTCAGACACAATGCTAGGAGAAAACATATACTATATGAAGGAGAGTGGCTGGACATTTGAACTAGAGTGGCCAAAGCTTTTAAACACAGTGCCATATAGAGGCAGAGGAACATGGACCTCATGAGGTACCCTGCTTGAGAAACATTTTTGGGCAGAGGACATTTGAAGGCACGTCATGGGGTACAATTTCTGCTGGGCTTCATGTCTGATTTGGAACAGAGCAAAGCAACCTTTGCCAGCATGATATCCTCCAGCAGGGGAGTGGTTCTCCAACTTCTCTGGTCAATTGTGTGCTTTTCTGAATTGAATAATGAACCAGGAATGCAGATTAGGAATTAGAACCACCCTGTGCTTTAATCTTATACTGCCTTTATCTCCCTTCCACAATCACTGTTCATAGCCTCTGGACATAGTTAGAATGGCTGCTTAAAGAGAGGCCCTTTTTTTTCCTATAAATGCATGTTAATGATTTTGCAGCACAATCCTGTGCAATTATACTTTTTAATTACAGGGAAGCAGTGTGTTTGATTGATAAGGCTTACTCCAAGGAAAATATGCATAAGATTGCAACCAAATAGATATAGAATATATAGGATTCTGTTGTCACAGGATAACACCATGATAACACAATCCTATATATGTGTCTATTTAGAGGTTAGTCTCCGTTTGTTCAGTAGGGGTGACTCCCAGATAAGTCAGAAATGAATGACTACCTTAGATTGATTTCTTCTTCTACATTTTAAATTGAAGATTTCTGAGCTCTTTGTAGAAAATAATGACTTGGGAGGCTAGTTTGTCTCTTAGAGTTGATACCAGGTGGGAAGCCATTGAATTTCCGGTTTCATAAAAGAAACAGATATTAGTAGTCTTGAGGAAAATTTCCTTGATTGGCAGTTTGTTCACTTTTGAATCCAGATTTGTGAATAAGTGCACGTTGGCAGGAAATCAAGCCAGCTACAGAGAAAATTGCATATTCTGCCAGGTACACTTATGCATTGAGACATGGTCTTCAATTTTCTGGTTTCAGCTGCATTTCACAAGAGAGACTTGTCCAGGCCACCTTCAAGAGTAAATGTCAGTAGGGAGCTGGATGCTTCAGTAGGATGAATTAAGCTTGCAACTCTGCTAAAATAAGCAGAAGATTTGGCTCAACTTTCAGGATCCAGTCATCTGAGATTGTGGTATTCCTAGTGTCATAGCTGCCAAGGGGTTTGCCTTGGATTATATGCTAGATATTTGAAACACATGTTTTATAGCTGTTATGTCAATTCATTAGTAGCCTAGTGCCAAGCAAAATGAGTCTACTCTTAATTGTTCCTTGGCTTCCAAATTACCTAATATATTTTGTTCCTTGTTTGCCTCATCCAGAATGAGTCATTCCATTTGACTGTAGCATTAAATTGCAGTCTAACTAGCAGTGTAGGTGGGCTGCCCCAATGCAGCGAGTATCACATGCTAGCCTTCCTTTTCCCTTTCCCTTTCCCTTGTAATTTATTTCATTGCTAAAATAAGCAGAAGATTTGGCTCAACTTTCAGGATCCAGTCATCTGAGATTGTGGTATTCCTAGTGTCATAGCTGCCAAGGGATTTGCCTTGGACTATATGCTAGATATTTGAAACACATGTTTTATAGCTGTTATGTCAATTCATTAGTAGCCTAGTGCCAAGCAAAATGAGTCTACTCTTAATTGTTCCTTGGCTTCCAAATTACCTAATATATTTTGTTCCTTGTTTGCCTCATCCAGAATGAGTCATTCTATTTGACTGTAGCATTAAATTGCAGTCTAACTAGCAGTGTAGGTGGGCTGCCCCAATGCAGCGAGTATCACATGCTAGCCTTCCTTTTATTATTTATTTTCCCTTTCCCTTGTAATTTATTAGAAGGCAAGATTTAGCTGACTCATGATCTTCAGTATAAACATTCCTAAATATCAAGTCATGTAACAGGCAAATTATTTTTTTTTCCATGGACAATGAATTGGCTAGAAATATCACAAAATTAATTCAATGTAGACATAATGATTTAGTTGAATTCCTAAGGAAACATATTCAGCCACAAGAAAAACTAAGCAAAAACAGAACTATTACAGTATCTTTAGAACTAATGGCCAGTATCATATTTACTCCAAAGGATTTAAAATTGCAGCTAATTGACAAGGTGCTGGTCACATGCCATAAGTCATTGCAGTTTGCTGTCATAATTTACATGATTTTTGCTTTCTGTAAAGTAAAACCCCAGTAGGATTCAACACATTTATTTCAATGTGAGTTTTCATAGCGTACCATCTACTTCTTCAGGCACATGTGCCACAATACATTTGTTTTTGTTTTTGTTGTTGCTGAAATGGACTAGCACACCTCTCTGGAAACAGAAGACCATTTAGATTGAATCTTGGAATGTATCTGTGTCTGAGAGAAAGTTGTGAATGAAAAATTTCAGTGAATTTTGAAAGCTTCTGTTTTCTTGTATAGACTTTTGCAATCATCATAGTGTATTGCTACAAACATTGATATCGTTTTTAAGATCAGTGATTCCTAGCCTGTGGCTCACAAGAGTACTAGAGGTGGTGCCTGGGGAACTGAACTGATCGATTGATCATTTAATAAGACCCTAATCTGCAGGGGGAGAAGAATGGGTGATGGATCATGGGAGTGTGGTGTATCTTATGAAGAGAAAAGGTCACCATGACCGATAGTGTCCTATAGTGAGTGCAATATATTTGGTATTTCTGAATTACTAGAAAGAACTATTTTAAACACTTTTTAATATACTGTATATACCTAACCCCTATCAGCCATAGGCTATGTTAAAAATACTTATATACCTAACCCCTATCAGCCATAGGCTATGTGAAAAATACTTATGAGTTACTTATGAGATTATGTTCAGGAAAGTTTTCAGTGTACTTGTCTACATAAAGGAAACCACTGGGAACCACCATTTCAGACTGAAAACCTACATATAAGACTGTATTATTGATCCTTATCAGTCATTATAAAGTCTTTTGGGGGCAGTGGCTGAAGAATGGATAAAAACCACCATAAATAAATAAAAAACCCTAACAGCTCCTGTTCACTAAATTTGTCACCTTGAGGAATCCACAACTTATTCACTGGAAGGTAGTCTGGCAAACTGTGGGCTGGAGGAAATAGGGAGGGAGCCAAAAGAAAAGGGCAAACAGTACACAGACACACAAAACTTTATCATATTAGGCTCTTAGAGGCAGGCGTGTTGCCATATTTTTCTATGTATAAGACACTACTTTTTCCTAAAATCATTACACTAAAAATTGATGGGTGTCTTATACATGGAAGTAAGCTGAGAACAGAACAAAATGGCACATACCTTGCCTCTGTAAGCAGGCTGCCTCCAATCACGAGGCTTAGCTCCTACAGGCAGGAGACTTAGCTTCCTCCAGTCATGAGACTTATGGAACTGACATCAGCTGATGCTGTACAAACCTCGTTGCAGGTGGAAGCTGTAGGCTCAAATGCAACAGGTACTCCTAATGTCCGATCATTCTGAGCCCAGAGGCTGAATACTCAAAGTTTTCTTAATTTTTGGGTTATAAAAGTGGGTTGGTATCTTATAAATGGGAGCGTCTTATAAGCGGAAAAATTCGGTAGGTTATGAGTATGTTTTCAAAACAGGATGGATTTTATTAAAACCACAGTTGAAGAGTAGGGCTTATAAAAATGCTGAGAACCACAAGAAAAGTGAAGAGGTGAAACAATTTACAGTTACGACAGGACAAAGTAAAAGAATTATTTTGAAAATTAAGAGCTAACAAAACGTACAAAAGAGTGTCCTGAAAAAGCTATATTTTCAAAAATTAAGTGTAGATCCAGGGAAAATATGACTCACCCTTTATTGGCATTTCAATATTGGTAGTAAAGTTATGTATCGAAGCATAGATCAAGCACACATATGAAACTCAGCCTAGTTTTGCAAATTTGTTTCAAACTTTTATATAACACCTTTCTCCTGAAAAGGACCCAAGGCAGCTTACGGTATTAAAAAATAAACAGTATTAGAAGCTAAAATCAATAAATCATTACAGTATTAAAAATTAAACACAATATTCTTTCTTTATTCATGTCATTTATTTGTAAAACTACCAGAGTATTAAACACAGATTAAAAAACAACAGAAATATACAGCAGTCCCATTTAAATTTTTCTTATAGCAAAAAAAAAGCTAAGTGTGCTGTTTATATTCTATCCCAAAGTGCTTAAAGCACTCTCTGGGCAGTTTTCAACTTAATAATGCAGGCTACACATAGTGTGCCTGCCTGCCCTGCCTCAGCAAGGTGGGTACTCAATTTTCTGACCTTGGAAAGATGAAATGCTGAGTGAATCTCAAGCTGGCTACCTGGGATTGAACCCAGGCCATGAGCAGAGTTTTGGGTGCAGTACTGCAGTTTATCCTGCCAAGCTAGCAGTTTGAAAGCACGTAAATGCGAGTAGATAAATAGGTACCACCATGGTGGGAAGATAACAGCGTTTCGTGTCTAGTCGCGCTGGCCATGTGACCACAGAAACTATCTACGGACAAACGCTGGCTCTATGGCTTGGAGATGGGGATGAGCACTGCGCCCTAGAGTCAGACACAACTGGACTAAATGTTAAGGGGAACCTTTACCTTTAACCTTTATTGCAGTTTAACCAGAACACCACAGGTAGTACAGGAGTCTGTTATTGCAGCCCTCCAAATGTTGGAGTAGAGCTCCTGTGGGGCTTAAGCAGGCAGCCAATGACAAGGGGTGCTGGGAGTTAAAGTCTAAGCACATCTGGAAAGCAACAGCTGTTCACCACTGCTAGTGAAACTATACAATAGTTGGTGGGGGAAATATTTGGCCTTTTAACCATTTTGGATAACAATTGCCACTATTCCTTCCCACTGGCTATCCCCATAGTCTCCTGTACATTCCAGTTCAAAACTCTGGCACAGTCGAAGAGACTTCCCAATGTATGAACTGAAATGCATGAGTGTCTATCTTATGTTGCAGCCACTGCAGATTTGCTCAGCACAAAGCAGAGGTGAGCCACATGTGGTGCCAAGAGACAAGGCTACCAAGGTCAAAAATCCATCTCCACAGCACCCCAAATCCGATTTTTTATAAAAGGGCGCTCAAAAAGACTTTTGATGTCTTTCACCTAGAATAGTTTGCTATGTTTGGAGGTCCTCCCAAATTTTAAAGAGTTTTCTTTTGGCCATTAGAGAGTGCAAAGGGGCATTTATTATTTTTTTAAAAAGAGGTGGGAGTGCAAGAAGGGGGGGGGTTGACCTCCAAGGCCCAGGATAAATATAGCCACCTTGGGCCCTTTTAAGGAGAAAGGTGGGATGTAAACAAACAATTAAAGCCTCCAAAACCCTGGAGGTTGGCCAACCCTGGTGTAGAGCAATATTCAGATGCATAATATGTTATATAGTACAGTATCTCTAAATCAAGGACGGGCTCATTCCCGATGTTTCAGGCATACAATTTTTGTTAGTCTTAGCCTGTACAGCCAATACTGATGGATTATTGGCATTGCAGTCCACAGACACCCAAAAAACCGCAATTCCCCATCCTCAGCTAGAAAGAAGAGGCAAATTGATTCGAAATGACGTTTAAAAGATTACATTAATTAGCACAAGTATGCGGTAGAGAGAACGACTCTGATAGCAAAGGCGGGGTGAATCGCTTTGGCTGCACTCCAGAAATTCGGTAGGAGGGAACCACCCCGGGAAAGGGCGGGCTGAATGAAGCCAGTAAGTTCCAGCACGGTGCAAGCGGAGCGGCAGGTCTCTCCTCGAAATGCTGGGGTGGCGCGTCTCCCTGTTCCGAAAAATTCGGCATGCTGGGAGCTTCCTGCCACCGATTTCTTGAGGCCCACACTGGGAACTGAACAGGTCCGGAGCGCAGAAGAACGAAATGGTCGCCGCCGCTCCGGGAAAGCGCAGAGGCTCCGCATCAGGCGGGCAAGGGCCCGACGCGGCTGAGCGAGCGATTGGGAAGGGCCTGGGAAGGGGAGGAGGGTTGGTGGGCGGAGCCGAGGAGGGCGCCTCCTTCGCTCGCCATCCCTGGCGGGCTCGGGAGGGAAAGCCGGGGTGCCCCGAAGCATGATGGGAAACTCCTTCTAGCATCCGGCATGGAGGTCCAGGCGCCCTGCTCCAAGGAGCATCTTCGCACCAGCGGCGGCGGCGGAAACAGCCGCAGAGGAAGCAGCCAGAAACCACGGCAGGGAGAGTGAGCGGCGAGCGAGCCAGCAAGCGGGGATGGTGTCTCAGGTTGTACAGCTGCTCCGGCAGGGAGTGTGGGCGGCGATCACCGGAGGCTGGTACCATGACCCGGAGCAGAGCAAATTCACCAACAGCTGCCATCTCTACCTGTGGCTTTTCTTGCTGCTGCTGCCCATGGCGCTGCACCTGGTAAGACTAGGAGCCGGGCTGGCCCCCTTGGGAAGAGCAGGAGGGATTCTGGGAGGAGGGGCCAAGGGTACACCTGTAGGCCTCGGTTCTGGTGTAAAGGAGACCCACAGCCTGCAACCCGGCCCAGGCCGGGGGCAGACAGGTGCGGCCTTGCGGAGGGTCGGATGTAGCAAAGTAACGGGAAGCGGGCACGTGGGCAGGTGAAGAGGTGAAATCTGAGAAGCACAGCTGACAGGACAAAGGGAAAGGGTTAGTGGGGGAGGAGAGGAGGATGCCTCCTGATTAAAAAAACCTCTGGCAACTGCTAGAGTTGGATATAGGAGGGTAACAGCACAACTACATTTTCCAGAAGAGTAACTTGATTTGTGGTGTGTTTTTTGTGGTGTAAACTGTCATGGACTACAGCTGCCTGATGGGTCTGAAAAAGTGAGCTATAGTCCACATATACCATGTTGGTTTTGCTGCAGAATAGCTATTGCAACTAGTATATGATTAATATTTTAACATTATTTCTATTATTAAGGCACTTTGTCTCAAATACATTTTGACTGGATTTTTTTCCCATCGGGACTAAAGTCCTGAGCAGATATTCTCCTTACTTCCTGTACTGACTACAATTTAAAATTTGGAATAAAACATTGGCCAAAATACTGTTCTGTAGCTTCCTCTGCACAGTGGGAACAATGTCATCTTCCATCGCAGATTGCTGCTGATTAACAGCTTCCCTTTCTAGTTTTGAGGTTCACGTGATTTGCATGCAATGAGGTAAAACAGCATGCACACCAAAATTGAAAAGGGAGGTCTGTCATTAGTGATGGTGATGATGATGATGACGCCATTGCTGTTATGCAGGATAAACTCATCCAACAGGATTTTGGACATTTGATAGTAGATTGTTGTGGGGCTTTTTTTTTTTTTGATAAATAGATTGTATACATTAACACTTATTTTTTTCCACCTGTCTAGGCATTGCCTCCCAACGTTATCACAGCTTTTGTCTACTGTAGTTCTGTGACATTGTTGTTCACAGTAATCAAGGTAGTCAGTTATCGCCTGCATCTTATGTTTGACAAAGGAGAAGTAATTCAGCAAAAAGTCTCTTGGAAGGAACAAAAGCAAAATAAAGAAGCTAAGAGAGATAATGCAATTCGGCATATAAATCTTAGGTTAGTTTTCTTCTCTTTTTTGTGCATGTAGTTTCCTGATGTCAACTAATTCAGTTAGGAAGTGTATGTGTGTAGAATCAGATTTCTGGATGTGGGACATTTACTCAGGGAGAAAATGCATGAGCAAGGGATGCTGAACATGTAGTGAATTCCACTGTCAGAGACTTGTTTATGTTGCCAAAAAGGTGTTCAAGAAGGGAGACCAGGCAAAATCTAATTGTTAGTCCCAAGTAAAATAGGTTACTGAGCAGAAACATAATAACTATTTTAATTGTATTTTTATTGCATTTTAATTGTTGTAAGCCGCCCAGAGACCTTTGGTAGAGTGGCCAGCATATAAGTTAAACAAACAAACAATTTCTTTTCATGCAATAGATTATTAGAGGTTCAGTTGGAGCCTGCACAAGGAGGTATCTGCTAATTCTACTCGGATGAGATTAGGAGAGAATGCTTAAACTTTCTTGCACAAGCTTGGAAACAGTCCAACCACTTGTACAGTGGGCTGTTGCACAAACAGAAGGAAGAAACAAAGAATCTGTTAATTTAATCAGTGGTTGAAATCCTCCTGAGTAGCTATGCAAATGATGTAATATTTAGAGGCAATCTTCCCTAATTTAAGAAATCATTGTAGTCATTCTAAGTTGTGCATTGACTGAAATCTTCTTCTTCTTCTTCTTCTTCTTCTTCTTCTTCTTCTTCTTCTTCTTCTTCTTCTTCTTCTTCTTCTTCTTCTT